GGGGGGAGCCTCGAAGCTGAGGAGACTGGTGTTCAGCTTAATAATGAATAAACTGTCATAAACTCATAAACTCAATTCAGATGATGCAAGTCAGCTCCCTAACGGGGACGCGGCTCCCCCAAGACATGGTAGCCAGCTGGTCTGCTTCCCCAGAGCCCCCAGACACCCCTGCAGCACCCCACTGCTCAGCCTATGTGTCCCCCGCCCCGCCCCCCGCCGGCACCACAGCACTCAGGCAGACAGGAAAGTCCATGCTCTTTATTAACACTCCCAGCCCTCGGCCTGGCAGCCGGGACCCCACAGGCCGGACCCCGCAGCCGGACCCCGCAGCCTGGACTCCGCAGGCCCCAGGCTGGGCTCCGGGACCAGAAGCAGAAGCTTCGGGAGGGCGCTGGCTGGCTGCCAGCGGGGTTCTCAGCACTTCCCAGGTGGGCAGTGGCCTGGAAGGGGGCAGAGCAGAGACTGGGGGTCCTCAGGGCCCCTCCTCACCTCCAGGGACCTGGGGGTATGCCTGGTCGGGGGAACCTGGGGGGCGCAGGCCTGGAGCCAGGGGGGGACAGGGCCACTGCTGCGCTCACCTCTGTAGCCATTTCCCGGGGGGCTGCGGCCGCCTCTCTTCTTGGGGGCCCCTGGGGTACACACATCTGGTTAGGGCAGCAGGGCACAGAGCACCCTGGATGCCTCTCCTGTCCAGCCCAGCTTTGGCCCAGGCGCAGGAGACCCCACTTACCAGGGGCCCTGGGGGACAGAAGAGCCCCGCCCTTCCCCGGCCCACCGGGCGGCTGGGCTCAGGGTCCAGGCCCCACCCCTGCCGCAACCCTCCTGCCCCCCATCCTCAGTGCCCCACCTCCTGCAGGGCCATGGGCAGGCCTGGGCCAGCTGAGGCAGCACCCCGACCCCCGACACTCTACTGCGCCCACTTACCCGGCTGTGTCCCACCCCATCCTGGCCTCAGGGGGGCCCCCCAGGGCTGCAGGGAGAGCCAGGGGGATGGTCTCAGAGCTGTGGCCTGACCTGCAAGAGGAGCACTGGTGTGGTGCCGGCCCCCCTAAACCCCCCCCCGCCGTGCTGGGTGCCCAGGGGTCTTTGCAGGCCCTGGGGACCGGCCCCTACTCTGCTTGGCCCCCAGAGTCTCCGCCAGGGTGTGCCCCTGCTCCCCCACCCCCGCACCTGGCCTGTTTAGTTCTTACCATGTTCTCCCAGAGCAGGCGCTGGCACTTTGGGGTACAGAAACACTTCCTGCCCGTACCCTGCAAGCGATTTGAGTTATTCTGGGCCAGGCCAGTTCCCAGGGCCCCCAGCCCTCCCCCCTCCAGGCACCTGGTTGCGGGGGGACTCCCGGAAAGGCCCCTGCTCCCAGGCCGCTGCGTGGGTAACCAAAGCCTGGGGGAGCAGCAGAAGCCGGGCTGGAGGCCTTCAGGGCAGAGGCTGGCAGACTGGGGAGCCCCCACCCCCGCAGGCAACCTTCCCTCTACCTGCCTCCTGCTCCACCCTCACCTGGGGCAGGGCCACACCTGTCCGGGCACCCAGGCAGGTGAATAAGGAGAGAGGCCAGGAGAGAGGAGCCCAACTGGGGGTGGGGGGTGCTCACCGACTTCCTGGGGCTTGAGGCCACCACCAAAGCCTGGGGAAGGAGACGGGGGGGGGGTGGTGAAAGAGAGCTGCAGGGACCCGGCCACCCCCCTGGCTGTCTGGGGCTGGCGTGTGGGGAGCTCAGGGCGCTCCTGGACACAGCCATCTGGAGGCTGCTGCCGTGCGGAGGCGGAGTGGGGGGCCAGTGAGCCCAGACTTCCTGGCTCCTTGGCTAAGTGTGGACCCCAGGGGCACGCAAAGGAGAAGGAGCTCTCCCTGGCAGCAAGGGGGGCTTCCTGGCCTTAGGGTGCCCGAACAACTGAGGCAGCCGGGGACACAGGCTGGGAGCCCCGATCTGGCCTGGGACAGGCCCCATTGGGCCCCGGGGCCAGAGGGGGAGTCACCTGCTTTCTGTGGCCACTTCCCCCGCGGGATGGCAGCAGTGGGAGCTGGGAAGGAAGCCGAGCCGTGAGGACGCAGGTGAACACTGGCCTGAGGGGCACCCCCGGCCCCCCATTCCGCACTAACCTGGGAATTTGCCGTTTGGCCCCCAGGGCTGGGATTTTGGACCCCAGCTGACCCCTTTATCTAAAGGGACCCCCGGAGTGAGAGGCGTGGGGAGCAGCAGCGAGGGGCCTCCCCCGCAGGGGCCTGTGGGGAGAGGGCAAGGCGGTGAGGGCCCCTGGCAGTCAGGCCGGAGAAGCCTTCGTGACTGGGGGAGGCGCAGGAAGGAGGCCAGGTGGGGTCTCACCCACCCGCCTTTGGAGGCCCCAGCCCGCAGGCTGGCACCCTGAACCCATCTGGCAGCCCGGCCCCTGGGGGGAGCAGGCTGGGGGGCCGAGGGGGCCAGGCTGAGACTAGCCCCTGCTTCCCCAAGACCCAACTCTGCCCCCTGGGGCCCCGCCTCCCGCTCCCCCCAGCCCAGAACTTCTAGTCACCCTGGCCCCTCACCTGGCTGGGCCCCCTGGCTCACGAAGGCTCCAGCACCCAGCCGGACCCCGGAAACTGGAGGTAAAGGTGGGGGTGAGATGCTGCCCACCTGGCTTTCCCCAAACGCCTCATTAACATAGCAAGGGACACCTGGCTCTCAGGAGGGGTCAGAACGGGGGATTTGGGGAGCTCAGTGCCTGGGAAGGCGAAACATTCCTTTCTAGTTATAAAGCACACTCCGGGGAAGTGGGGTGCAGAGAGAAAGCCTCACCTGGCTTCTGAGGCTTAGCCGGCGCTCTGATGCCTGGGAAGAGACGGGGAGGGGCAGACAGGACCCCCACCCACTGAGCCCCTCCTGAACCCGCGTCCAGCAGTGCCTACCCCCACGTATCTGGCGCTGGAGGCACCCCCACATCTCTGGGAACCCAAATCTGGAGCCCCCCTCAGGTGCTGGAGACACCTGAGCGAGGCGGCCTGCGGTGCGCGCCGGCGCCACGAGGGGGCGCCCGGGAGAGGCGGCGGGGCCCGCGGACGCTGTCCGGCCCAGGGTCCCTCTCTCCTCACCGGTGCCGGGGCCCCCAAACGGCTGCAGGCCGGGCCTGAGGGCGCTACCGGCCAGGTAGGGGTTCTCCAGCCCCTCCTCAGGCCCCTCCCCCACCTGCGGCCCCGGAGGACCCCAGAGCAGGGTCTGCAGTGAGGACCTGCTCGCCACATGGACCCCAGCCGGGCTCCTCCTGCCCCTCAGTACCTGCTCCATAGCCATTCTGAGCTGGGGGGCCTGTGGGGAGAAAGGGGCTTGAGACCCTGGTCAGGTGGGGTGAAGGGCACCCCTTCAGGGTCAAGCCAGAGCCAGGGGCCAGGAGGCGCACCCCAGCCCGCCTCGGTCATGCACCATCCCACCCCCGAGGCGGGGCACAGTGCGAGAGGGGGCCCCTTTCCACCGGCCTCACCTGATTGGGCTCCCAGCCCCTGCCCGAATCCTGGGGGGCACATGGAGGGGCGGGTGTGAGTGGGGGAGGAGCGAGACAGGCAGGGGCGAGACTCACCTGGCTTCTGGGGTTTCATGGGCTCGCCGAAGCCTGGTGGAGGTTGTGGGGCAGGTGAGGGACCCGGGCCAGGTCTGGACCCCGGAGAACCCCTACCTGCCGGTAGCGCCCTCAGGCCCGGCCTGCAGCCATTTGGGGGCCCCCGGCCCCGGTGACCGGGACAGCGCCCGCGGGCCCCGCCGCCTCTCCCGGGCGCCCCCTCGTGGCGCCGGCGCGCACCGCAGGCCGCCTCGCTCAGGGCTGGGGGGGTGGGGGGCGCTGTCTCCAGCCCGCCCCTGGGTGTTTGCTGAAGGGTGTTTGGCGGAGCAGGAGGGCAGGGCGGGCCTCACCTGGCTTCGGAGCTTTCCGTCCTCTGAGGCCTGCAAAAGGGGAGTCCTCCGTGAGTCCCCCAGACTCCTCTTCCCTGGAACTGGAGTTGTGTGGAACCCATACCTGCGACCCACCCTGGTCCCAGGTCCCTAGGGCTCCTGGGCCTCTCTCTCATTCCCATTCCCACGAGGTGGGGCTCCCCCTTTCCCACTCCTAAATCCTGGGGAGACAGGGAGGGGGTGGAGGAGGCTGCTGGCGTGGGGGAGTGCAGAGCTGATGGACTGAGGGGTGGCTGGAGGAGAGCTGCCCTGCTCTGGCGTCTCCCAGCCCTTCCCAAGCCTGAAGTGGAGGTGAGCAGGTGAGGAACCCAGAAAACCCTCATCGCTGGGCCCCCCAGAAACTCAGTCCCTGGGGCCCCAGCTTCTACCTGCCACATCTCCACCTGCCCCCAAGTTTAGAACAGTGAGACCAGTTTGGGGCAGATACAGGACCGGAAAGTGCAGCTGGCCCCTTGCCCCCTCCATCTGGTCTGGCTGGAGCCACAGAAGCAGTGGGCGTGACCCCAGGACAGAAGGCCCCAAGACCTCCACTCTCCCAGCCCGAGCACCAGGGGCTCCAGGTGGACACCCCTCGGGCCCTCTGTGTGCCCCCTATGGCCTGGTCCCCGGAGGCACTCAGGGAACGAGGCGGGGTGACTGAGCCCCAGGGAGCCCTGACCTCTGCCCAGGCCCCTGCCTGACCCCCACAGGCCAGTCATGGCTGGAAGAGCAGTGTTTTGGGGGTCCAGTGAGCTCAGGGCTCTTTGACTCACCTGATTTCTGAGGCTGCAAGTCTGGGAAAGACACAAGAGCAGTAGTGCTCCAGGGGGCCCCACCCACCCCATCCTCCCCCAGAGCTCAATGCCTGCCACCCTCCGCCCAGGTCCTCCCCTCCTCCCTAGAACCCCAGCTTGGCCCAGCCCGGGCTCTCACCTGGCTGGGATCCCCCTCCTGGACAGGCCCCATTGCCAAGTGCAGGGAGATGAGTGAGGCCAGGCGGGTGGGGGCGCTGCAGCAGGCCTTCGCACCCGCCGGTGCCCGAGGCACCCCCCAAACCACACCTCCTGCCCCCAAGAACCTGCCCCCCAACCTCCCTGGGAGCGCACCCCAAAAGGACGAGGGAGCCTGGCGCTCCCGCCCAGACAGTGGGGAGACCAGTCGGCGGCGGGGGGGGGGGATGGCCCTCACCTGGCCCGGCACCTGCACCCGGAAGAACCCCGACTCCTAGGCCCTCTGGACTCCCTAATCCTGGTGGGGACAGTTAGGGGCTGCTTAGGGCCTGTGAGCCTGACCCCCCCAAGGGAGACAGACGGGCTGGGATGGAGACGGGCAAAGGGGTGAAGGGACAGGGAGGCCGGGCTCCCCATGTAGTCTGTGGAGCTTCCTGTCCTGCTCCCAGGCCTGGCAGAGACAGCCTGACCCCCCCCCCCAGGCCACACACTGACCGGGGCCTCGCCCCTTCCTCCTGGCCCAGTCCTGGAAGACAGAGCCAGGATGGAGGAGGCCAGGGCCGGGCGGGCCTGAGAAGGGACTAGACAGATGGCCAGCGGACAGAGGGTGGGCGTGGAGGGGACTCACCTGGGCTCTGGGGTTGCAGCCCCCCTACAAAGCCTGGGGAGAGAGTCGGGGTTGCTGAGGGGGCTCCAGTGACCTTGCCCCTCCTGGGGCTCCAAAGCCACGCTGAGCCCAGGGGTGCCTGTTTCCCCTCCCTAAGCCACCCCACCCCTGCAACGTCTCCCCAGCTTCCTGCTGGGGAGCCTAGAAAAGACCCCAGACTGACCGGGGCCCTGCCCCACCTCCACCTCACCAGACTGGGCCGCAGCCCCCGCAGCAGCTGGCTTCTGGGGTTTCACCCCCCCTCGAAATCCTGAGAAGGCTTGGGGGGGGGCAAGTGACAGCCTCAGCAGGCCCTTAAGGGTGTCCCTCAAATCCCAGCCGCAGCCCCTCACGTGCCCCGACTCCTACCTGGGCCATAGCCATTCCAGAGTGGAGGGCCTGGGGGAGGAAGGGATGGACTGGTAAGCGTTGGGGTTCAGCGGGGTGCGGTGCAGGACACTTGGGCCCCTCCCTGGGCCCACCAGAGGGGAAAGGCAGAGTTGGGGCTCAGCAGAGCCCCCAGGTTTAACACCCCTCAGAAGCCCAAGGGGCCCCTGGAGCTGACGAGGCCCCAGGAGGCCCCACAGATGCCCCAGGCTGAGCAGCGGGCTGCAGGGGCCTGGAGGCTGCCTGACCTCAGCAGGTGTGGGGGCACAGACAAAGGGTCTGGAGGGAGCTGGGGCGCCCCAATGTGCTCTCTGAGGCCAGCTGGCTTCTCGGCTGAGGGTGTCCACTGGCAGACTGTGTCTGAGAAGGCCCCACCCTCACCTGCTTCCCACCAGAGCCTGCGGGAAAGGCGGGGCGGGTCTAGGGGAGCAGGCGGGCCCACAGAGGTGCCCGCCACCAGCTTTACCCGCCCTGCGGGGCCAGGCGGAAGGGCTCAGGCCGGCAAGGAAGCTGGTCTGCGTGCCCTGCCTCATGGCAAGTGGCCGGCGACTCAGTCCCCTCTGACCAGGGGAGGGCCGGGACAGGCAGGCCAGAGCTCGGTGCGGGTCGGCGGCGGGGGGACGTGTGTCTGGCCGCACCCAGGGCCCCTCAGAGCCCCCAGCGCCCTGCCCCCACTCCGCCCCAAGGCATTGGGCCTGTGCACCCCGCACTTGAGTTGACCACAGGCAAGGCTGTCACCCACCAAGGAGACAGACAGAGCAGGGCCTCCCTGAGTGGGGACACCCGTGGCTCCCCCAGGGCGCGCCTGGACCTCCGGGGAGACACCGGCCTCCCCTGACCCCAGGCCTGAGGAGCCCCGTTCCCGAGGCCCGGAGGCACCGGAGCGAGCCCTGGGGAGCAAGGGGGGCTGGCTCAGGCAGGGACCCCAGAGGAGGGCCGGGCTGCCCCGCCCCGCCCGCTCACCCGCCCTCCAACCCCCGCAGCCGCCCTCACCGCCCTGCAGGCTCTCAGAGGTCAGGCAGAGCAGGAGCAGGGCTGCCGGGAAGGCCCCGCTGCCCATGGTGCCGGCAGAGTGGCGCACCCGACAGCCCCGGGCCTTTAAACACCCACTGGACCCCCAGCTGTGAAGAGGTTCTGTGGGGCCCAGGTCTCCTCGCCGCTCCCCCCCCATCAGGTGCTGACAGCTGGGATGGCCCATGTCTGACCCGAGCCCCGCCGCCGCTGGGGACCGGCTGCGAGCCCGCAGGGCTCAGATGTCTGCCAGCAGCTGGGGAGGCGAAGGCGCACCCCAGGCCTGGCCAAACAGCTGGGGGCGGGACAGTGCCAGACTGTGGCTGCGTGGGCAGGAGGAACTGTTGCTTGGAAAGAGCAGGGGCAGGCAGTGTCGGGCTGGCAGGTGGTGCTCAGAGGAGCCGCTCGCTGTAGGCCACTCTGAGAAGGGGACAGCCGTGCGCCCCCGGGGAGGGCGGGAGTGGGGAGCCCCTGTCCTGGGGGGCGCTGGCACCCCAGCCCGCGGAGTCCAGCTGCTTTGTGGAAGCCCAGTCGCCGCCGCCTGCAGGCAGCCCTCCTGGCTTTGCGTCCTCTCCTGCTCGGGGCTGCAGCATTGACGCTAACCTTGAGGGGCAGCCTGGGGGTGCCGCTGCTGGTGGGGGCAGCATGGCGGGGCGGGGAGGAGGGCAAGTCTGGCCACTGGGGCCACTTTTCTACTCAGGCGGGGGTGCCGAGGAGCTGGGGGTGCAGGGAGACGGGCCTTGGAAACTGCAGTGGGGTTCTGGGCGCCAGTCCCGCCTTCCCCAGCGAGTGTGGACCCAGCAGGCCGGCCAGGACAGCGGTGACTCAGGCCCCCAGGACCCTTGGCCACGGGCCCGCACAATGGTCTGTCGGCCTGCTCTGTCCAGCCAGTCTCGCAGCCTGGCCGTGCAGGCCCGGAGAGCCGCGGCAGGAGGGGCTCCTCGCCGGAGGCCGCTGAACCCACTGTGCTGAGTGGACGGGGTGCCCCTGTGAGGCAGGCTCCCCTCCGCAGCACGCCTGCGCCCCCTTCCCACAGACCCCACCCCACGCCCCACTGCCCCTTAGAGAACCAGCGGGAGGGCTCGGAGGCCCTTTCTGCTCCCCGGAAGGCCTCCCGCTCGGCGCCCCAAGCAGGCACGGTGTCCCGGAGTCTGTCTCCCCGGGACTGGCCTCGTGCTTAGCAGGCTGCGCGCTGGGTCTGGATTCAGCTGGGTTCAGGCACCCACTCTGCCTGGCTGGGGAGCAGGAATCGGCCCCAGAGTCTGTTTGTGCCCTCAAAAATGATGCCACCGATACTCTGTCGGGGATGTTGGGGAGGCCACTTGCCCCCACTTTACAAACGGGACTCAAGGCAGAGAGGGGAAGGAATTGGGTGCAGGGCAGGAGTCCGCAGACCTCCGAGGCAGGGGCTGGCAGTTCACGGCCCCGAGCCCACAGCCCGGGTCTCTGTACGCTCGTCTGCCGCCCGCGGGCGGTGACCCCCAAGGACGCGGCTCTCGCCAGCCCTGCCTGTCTGGCTCCAAGGTGTCTGCGGCAGAGCGGGGCTGGGGGGGGCCCTGCTCAGACCAGACATGGCTCACCCTGCCAGGCGCCAGGGAAGGGGGGTCGAGAGGAGGGGGACGGGGCAGCAGGGCTGTGGGCTGGCAGCCGCTTGGCCACCAGCAGAGGCCGTGCAGGGCCGGCACAGCTGCCAGGCCGCCTGGGGCAGGCAGGGGCCATGCCCAGTGCCCGTCAGCCTGAGGCCCGCGGCAGCGTGACCC